TTCCTAAGCCCTTTAAACATTACTTATATATCTATACATATATGGGCATGCAATTTATAAGAAGTAAAACAAAGTTTAATAAAAGCATTTGATAAGTAAAATAGTTTATACAACATTTTGAAGTGAAACAGTTTGATAAATAGTTTGAACAGTGATAAAATCATTGGTTTTCTAGTTATTAATCACATGTGATTAATGTAATCACATATGATTGATGTAATAACTGTAAGTGTTTAACTTGTATTCCCCCCCCCCCCATAAAGTATTTAAAACATTTAAAAGCATTTCCAAGGTTAATTAAAGGGGTATGAACTCACTTGTGGTGAGTAGATTGGATTGATGTATCGGGTACCGTGCTAGGTGGCAAACGGAGACTTGTTCGCACGTACGAGCCTAGTTATCATATAATGAGCATATATATAACTAATTATCCAAATAATAACTTAACAAAATAAGTTGAGACACTTAGGAACATGTAAACACTTTATATAAGTGTTATAGGTCCTAATGGTTGCATCTAAGTTGATACTGGACAAGGCAAAAAGGGGTTTAATGCACCAATGACCTTGTATATGAGTTCACCACTCAACAAACCCCACCTTTGGAGTTTACGGTCATAACTCCTTGAGTTTACGGTCGTGAACTCCACACTTGGTGGTTTTGGGTGTTTTGAAGTGCTATATTGATCCTAGAATAAGCCTAGCCTTGTTGGAATAATCCTTGAAATAGTTTAAGGCCTTGGAATGCTCCTTTGGGGATTTTACGGCCAAAGGACCATATCCCCTAGAGTTTACGGCCGTAAACTCCTATGGGGTGTTGGTTTTAATTCATTTAAGGCACTTGCACATGTAGGATAACTTCCATGTTTTTGCTTAAGGCTAAAGGGGACATTAGGCACACCTTTGTGCCTTTACTTGGAGTTTACGGCCCAAGAGGTGTTCCTTGGCCATAAACTCCCTTTAAGGGATGATTTTGATGTCATTTTCTCCTCCTTCAAGTCACAAGTATACAAGGTTAATTGTCTTAAGGCTTTAAGGGTGTTTAGGGCACCTTTAACCCTCGAAAAAGGGGTTTACGGCCCAAGAGCTTTTCTTGGCCGTAAACTCCTAGAACTTTATGATTTTGGAGTGTTTTGGTGTCCAAATTAGCTACAAGCATTAGAGGGTACAGGTCTTTAAGCTTTAGGGGTGATTTAGGGCACTTATAGCCCTAAAAAGGGGTTTACGGCCCAAGAGATATCCTTGGCTGTAAAATCCTATAACTAGGGGTTATTGATTGATTTCTAGCCTCAAATGTTTATACATTAAGTCCTTAACTAGTTGTCTAACAAGGAATCGGGACTAGGAAGCTTTTAGGCCTCGTTTTGGAGTTTACACCCAAGAACATTCTTGGGCCATAAGCTCCCGGATCTTGTATTTTAGACATGTAAACAATGTTATAAAGCATATATCCAACATTAAAACACATTTAGGAAAGTAGACTCACAATCCGGGATGAAAACCCGAAGATCCGTCAGAGAGAAATGGCTTTTCTCTAGTTGGAATTGTGAATAATGAATTAATTAAATTCAGAAATCTATTTATAGTCCTGAAATATTTTGACAGAAAATATTTTTATTCCGGAAGTTGGACTATAACATTATGAAACTTGGAATGTTCAAGTTTCACAAATACAGGAGCATCCACTCTCCTGATATATCCAGAAACGTAAACCCTAATGTACACAAATTTGTTCGGAAATGTCTGAAAATCACTGAAACTGGACTGGCTTCTATTGAATAGATATTGTTCGTACAAATGGAAATTTTGGGTTGTCCCAAAATCCTAGCCTCCTAGGGTTTATTGGCCATAAACCCTAAAGTGTCAAATTCATACACATGTATAATACTAATTGAAAACAATTCAACACCACTAATGCGTTTTGTACAAACAATCATATGTCTGCATGTAACCCTAGATTTGGATCTATGTTTTCTCAATTAGATACACAACTTTATGAACACAATAAGAACCCTACCTAGCATGTATATATTTCGAAATTTATATAGAAGAGTAGATCACATACCTCTTGTTGTTATATTGCAATAACAACACTAATCTTCAATCTCTTAGTCTTGAAAGCAAGTACCACAAGTGTAGTACCTCTAATGGCTCACAAACACCACAAGAAATTGGAGAGGCAAGAGAGAGAGAGAGGAGAGAGGTTAGAAATCGGCTCTAGGAACCCTAGGGAACATGTGGCCGATTTACTTAGGCTTAGGGGTCTTTATATAGGGTAGAGATTAGGGTTTCAGTCCTTATCCTTATCTAGTTGCTTGCCTACCAAGTAACCAAAAGATAAGCCTTTGATAACCCTTATCCTTGGACGATTTCAAGGGCCTTATCCCCTTGAAGTCGTCCACCTCTCCCATAAGGCATCCATTGCCCTAATTTGCAACTATCACATAATTACAATCCAGCCCATACAGTTTAATTAATTACATTTGATCACAATTGAGTAAAGTGATGTCATATATGAACTGAACGTGTTCTGAGGCATTGACGATTCCTCCATGTTTCAATTGAGAATTGGAATATTCTAAAGTTTCGAGTTGTGTAGGAGGAAGATCAGTTATGAGATTCTGGAAGGATGCATTGTTGTATCTAAGTATGATGTCGTAAGTAGGAGATCTGTGGTTGAGGCAAGACATCGTGAGGTTTTGCGAAGGTGTACCGACGTATCCGAGTAGAATGCCGTAAATTACGGATTATATTGAGACTTGAGTTATGAAATGGCAAGTGGAGTTTCAAGTGGCTATGGTTCTAGCAGGAGCCCTTTAGCTAACTGTCATCAAACGAGAGTGTCCAAGAATGTGAATTGTAGAGAGAAAAGTGTTGGTCACGATAGTTGTTGTCAGATGTGGTGATGCATAACCTGGGTGGGTGTGTGTACCTATTTATGTTTTGTCGTGGAGTATTTGTTAGTGAACTTAGTGGGGTGACGAGTTGAGGAGTAGATTAAGGGGGATAAGAGGGTGAGTGAATCCTAGTCGGAGTAATCACTTCAGATTATCCGGGGAAAACCATGGAGTGAGCCCATGGCAAGTCAGTGAGAGAGCACGTTATGATGCTACGGGGAGCCGTAGTGTTCACCAGTCAGCGAGAGAGTGTTGTGATACTATGGGGAGCTGTAGTATTCATGAGTCAGTGAGAGAGTGCCATAGGCCTCCGGGAAGCCGTAGCCTGCACGGGTTAGTGTGAGGGAATGTTATGAAACTACGGGGAACCGTATTATACGCTAATCTGAGCATGGTACAGAAGAGTTTTTAGGCTTGAGTAGTCTTATTCTTCGAGCTTCGAGAACCTCGTGGTCGGACCAGGGGCGTGACTAGGGTCTCCATTTTTTTCAGGAATCATTATATTCTGAGTCAAGTTGTGGTTATCGCAATCGAGAGGAGTTGGAGGAGTCATGTATGCGTGGGTTGCGAGTCATGGGTCATGAGTTGAGTGCTTCATTGGGATGAGTGGTTGCAATTCTGTTTCGGACCAGAATCTCGAGTTTGAGTTTGGCTTTCGTGGTGTATTGAGAAGACGAATAAGATTCCAGATTCAGAGATGGGTTTCATTTTGAGGGGTATTGTGTGTCATTTGATGTCTTAAACCTGAGTGGATCAGTTCGTTTTATCAGAAGGACTGCAAGACGTATGGAAATAATGAGTAGTAGACAACAGAGGTCGAGGGCGAGACGATTTCAGTTGGGATTGTAGTATTCGCTTGGGGTAAAGCAAACTTCATGACTTGCAAAAAAAAAAAAAGATGAAATAATAAAAATCATAGAAAAATATCACGTGTCAAAGAAACATTCTAACAAAACTGACACGTGTCATTTTTAGGTTTCATTTATTAGAAGATGTAGATTATATTTTATATATATTTTTGAAATAAGACAACTTTCATAAATGGTCAATGTAGTAGTGAAATGACAGAAATGTCATTCAGTTAACGGTCAAAAGCTAACGGAGTTGGTGAAAATGACCGTTTGTTAAAAGTTTTGAAACCACAGGGACCATCTATGAGATTTTTCGAACATATGGACTAGACTTCGGATTTCGAGATACCACAGGGACCATTTATGAAATTTTGTCGTTAAAAAATTGGTCCTTTATATACTCAAAGTTTCATTACTATGTAAAAAACTATAACATATATGTTGTTTTATACGTAAACCTCATTTATCAAGAAAAAACAAAACACTTAGTACTTGTAAATAATACAAACTAAGTAATTGTTCATCTCAATCAAAGTATAAAGATTAGTCAAAGAAGGATAAAATAGATTCAATGAAGTATTTGTAATTCATTTTACAACCAATTTGGTGCTAAAAAATCTTATATTCATTTCAAATGTTAGACCCGCTTAATGTTTTCAAATTGTTCAATTGTTGGTTAAAAGTAAAGTTATGAAATTAATACTTGTATTATAGATAACATGAACATTTTTTACTCAAACTTTGTAATAATTTTTTCTGGTAATACCTAAAAAGCCCGAACCCGACATAATACCTGAATCACCCAAACTCTAATACCCAATTTCAGTACAGTTCAATTACTTTTACTATGTTTTTTTTTTTTAAAAAAAAAACATAAACTACTCAAAACCCGATAGTTATATCCCATCAACATCCCTACCTAGAGGTGTGCATATACCAATTTTAAACTGGTTTTTGTTTCTTAAAATTTATGCAGTTATCGCGGTCAAAATTTCGATAGCGGTCACAGGCCGCTATTTGAAATCGTGGTTTTCGCGATGGTATAGTGGTGCTATAGCGGTTTTTTTAATATTACATATAATTTAATATTTTTATATTATATTTAGAATTAATATCATAAAATCTAAAAAGTCTATATATAATTAATATCATAAAACCTAAAAATTCATAGAAAAACATAACATAATATTCAAAATTCTAATATAGTAATATAGAAACTACGTAGTGTCAATTGTCAAAGTGTCAAATATAGTTTAATCGCATGGCACGGGTTCGGCTTCCGAGTCAACATCATCCAAAGCATTCACTTCTTCATCAAGATCGTTCCCCACATCTGTAATATCATCACCATCATCGTCTCTATAACGCTCTCGTTTGCTCCTAATATTTGGTTGAGCGTCTACATTCGCTCCCATTGATTCTTGCACATCTGACCAAAGAAGGTCATCACCACCATCCACAAAGTCTTGAAGCTCATCTTCCGTTGGTATTGTCCAATCATCATTCTCCTCAACATCTGGTAGCAAAATAGGATCCAAAGATTTGTTTTGTAAAGACATGAATACAAGTTCATTTAGTTTTTGTTGCAAAAGACAATTTCTTTTCTTAGAATGTAGCTGCAACAAAAAAATTAAAATATTTTAGTTAATATGTTAGAAGTTCCAATCTAGCTAATATCATTTCTAAATTATAATTATAAAAATACTTGTTAAAAATAAGTTAAAAAAAAAAAAAAACTTACATTGTCAAATGTACTCCAATTTCGTTCATAAGGTGAAGCACTACAAGTTTGACTAAGAACCGTGATAGCAAACTTTCGTAAGATAGGTGTATCTATCCCATAAGAACGCCACCATATATCTACATTTTACAACAAAAAAGTTCCTAAGTTAATAAAAATAAATAAATAAAAACTTTTGGTTACATTATAATTTTTATACTTACACGGTGCAACTTTTGTCATACTCCTTTTAGCAGCTGGGGATCCAAATTGTCCACTTAAATCAATGTAGAGATTCAATTCTTGTCTCAAAGTATCATTTTCATCTTCATCGGGAACAAGACGGTTAATAGCAACATAAAGTCCGGTCATAATCTGTTTATTGGCCTCATATTCCTTTGACTTATCTCCATGAAAAATTGCAGGATTAAGGAAACACCCAGCTGTACATTAAGTCATTCACTAAAACGTTAAAACCAAATAATTTCATACTATTTTAAATTAAATTAATAACTAATAAGTAAAAGATTTATACCTGCATGTAAGGGATGAAGAAGTTGGTCATTACATCTTGTTTGAATGATAGACAAAATTCTACCTGCCAGTCTTTTTTTGTCATTATTCCCATCATTTAGATTTTTGCTTATTTGATCTTGTGCTCGACTCATCGCATCACAGATGTACCCCATGCACGGTCTTTCTTCTGTGTCAACCAAACGAACAATATCCACCAATGGAGCATATATTTGGCAAGCTAAATATACACCATCCCAAAAAGATTGCTTTGATACTATCTTCTCAACTCTCTTTCCAGGAGCTTTCTTTGCAAAGTCACTTTTTCTCCATTGCTCAGATACAAACAAAACTTGGAGATGGTGTCGATTCTCATGGACACTCTGTAAGGTGTAAAATTGGGTAGCAAATCTAGTTACACAAGACCTGTGCAACTCTCTATTCTTTGTCAACTTTCTCATCATATTGAGAATCCGTCCATGATTATAAATATAAACCACAATAGCTATTGCTTCATTCAAAGCGGTCGCGATCGTTACTTCTTTCTTCCCGATATCTTGTACAATGAGATTCACACAGTGTGCTGCACATGGAGTCCAAAATAATTTTGGATGTTGTTCTTCCAAAATCTTTCCTGCAGCTTTGTAGTTTGAACCGTTGTCTGTAATAAACTATAAGAAATAAAAAGAACTTAATTAATAAAATGGATATAATTTTTTTTAAAAAAAGTAATAACTAATAACTAATTAGAAACAAATATTACCTGCACAACATTTTCCTCTCCAACTTCTACTATCACCTCATTTACCTTCTTCACAATATATTCAGCATTATGTATATGCTCTGATGCATCAATCGACTTTAGAAAAACTGTACCCGTAGGACAATTGACTAAAAAATTGATCAAAGATCGATGCTTGCCATCTGTCCAAAAATCAGACATAATGCTACATCCAAATTTCTTCCATTGTGGTCGAAACGAATCCACAAACTTGTGGGTATCTTCTAACACGTCCTTTAACAATGTCACCCGCATATTATGATAACTTGGAGCCGGCATGCCTAACATTTATATAATTAACAAAACTAGTAAATATAAAAATGTTAACAACTTAACATTAATCAAATAAGAAAGGTAACAAAATTGATTACCTCTTCCATATTCTCCAATGGCATTGATCGCATCTTGGAAACCTTCATCACGTACGGCATTAAAAGGTAAGCCTACCGAATAAGCTCAAACTGCAATCTTTTTCCAAGCTACCTTCTTCAACTTCTCTTTAATTGGATTATTCTTATCCAATGTAGTTTGCTTTCCTTTTCCATGGTCCGGCTTATAAACATCATCAATAGGACCCCGTACATTACTAGAACTTACAAACTTTCTTTTTTTAACTTGTGGCTGTGGGGTATCGTCTTGCTCATCATCATTTTCAGAATGGTCTATACAACTTGTTGATCTAAGTATTTCTATTGTTCTTTGTCTTTCCTTTTTTTTCTTATCTTTTTCTTTCATTGATTCAAGCACTTTCTTAGTGATCTCCGTAGTCACATTAGGGCAAGCAGCTACATTTCCTCCTATATGAGTGAGGTGTTCTTGTAACCTTGTGATCCCTCCACATACTCTCTTGTCACACAAGGTGCACCAAATATTTTGTTTTTTTAATGGATCCTTTTGAACTCCCCATTCCCATGCCATATCTTTATTTGCACTTACACTAGTTGTATTGGCATCTGATCTCGTATTAGTAGTAGTAGGAGTGGTGGTGGTGGGCGGATTCACAGAAGCATGTGAAGAATTAGCATCCATATTGGTCAATTCACAATTGATTAAACCTGTTTCACAAATCACAATCACATGTCATTACTCATTATTATTCATTAACAAAATAACTACTTAATGTTTTATGTTCCTATTTTCTAAATCTTAACAGATTACATCAACATGAGTACACAAATTAACAAACATAAATGAAATTGGAATGCTGATGCTGTTTTTGAAACAATCTTAACAGATTCTCAACTCTTTACTATCTAGAAAATAAAGCATTAAAGGAAAATTTGACAAACATAAATGGGCAGTGGAGTCGGAAGAATTAAATTGACAAACATAAGTTAAACATAAGTGGGTCGATGCTAATGTTGATGATGTTGGAACTCGGAAGAATTAAAGGAAATTACATATCTCTACTCTTTAGTCTTTACTATCTAGAAAAGAAAGCATTCAAGGGAAAAATTACATACCTGATGCTGTTGGAACTCGCAAGTCGCAACTCGCAAGTCGCAGCCTCAGGCCGCGTCTTACTTCTTCGTCTTCGTCATAATTCAATTGCTCAAGCTTCTTACTTCTTCGTCTTCGCAAGTCATAGGTCGATGCTGTGGACCGTGTGTGGAGGTGAGGAGGTCGATTCAAGTCACGAAGACACGAATTCATGATCATGTTTTTGGAATAGTTTTAATTAGGTTTTTCATTGGGCTTTTCATAGTAGCGGGCTCATTAAAAGTGTTTTTTGTTGACAAATGAATCAAATGGACCACATGTATTAGAAATAATTGAAATATGCAAGAAAATACAATAGCGGCCATAGCGGCGCTATCTCGGTCATCAGAATAGCGGTTAATTGCGGCGCAAATTGCGGTACCGCGATTCGAAAACGATAAGTTGAAAATAGCGGTTGGCGACTACCGCAAAACGCTATAGCGGCGCTATAGCACCGCTATAGCGCGCAATCGATAGCATAGCTTAAAATCGAATTATTAAATTTATTTTCAATAGACTACATTCCGTTATAGTCGGTTTGGTTATTTGGAAATGAAATTGTGTTAAAAAATAATTTTGGTTATGTTTTTTTTTTTAAATTGGAAAGAACCAATTCTTTTTTTTTTTTGTTTATAAAAACTTATTCCTAATCACCATTTGGATTTTAACCTAACCAATCCAAAAAAACAAAAACAAAAAAATAGAGGGTGTTTGGGTTAGTTTTTCAAACCCCAAAAATTCTTTTTTGAAAAGTTACAAAAGTCAGGATTTACTGACTTTTCCAAAAAGTTCATTTTCTTTATGTAAAAACTTTAAAAATAGCTTTTAAAACTAGTTTGCCAAACATCTTTTGGTTTTTTTTTTCTTTTCCAAAAAGGATTTTTGACTATGAAAATCTAAGCTAAACATCCCCATAATAGAAGTAAGCAAAAACAAAAAATTACTTTAAAAAAAAAAAATTCGGATTATTTTTCAATTTAAAATTAAACCGGTTTGTGTTTTGCACCTCTACTCAAATCCATCGTACTCCTCAGATTTGTGTGATTTTCTTTCTCTGTATAAAATTAGAAAACTCACTGTAGCATGTTTTCATTTCAAAGTATAATTTCCCAAACATTTAAGAACATATCTTGTATGAATTTTTTTTTGTTGGTTTCCATCATAATAATTTACGATATAATGGTTGGAAGAATCCATCTTTTTCCATTGCTTTTTATGCAATCATCGAGACTCAAATGTAACACGACTCTTGCCATACAAATGTTTGGTTTACCATTCTTTTGAAAATTTCATAGAATCCACATGCTTTGATTTCATGTCTCAATCAGAGTTTTTTTTTTTTTTTTTTCCTTTTTTTTAATCAAGATATAATGTTGACCTTTTTTCCAACATTTTGTGACAAGTCGAACAATTTCATTGTGGGTTTAATTTGATTTTGTAATAATTTAACATGTTTTGTATTTGTTTATGATCTTCCCATTTAAAGCTTTTTTAGAGTGTATTGCATCGGAACGGGAGATACCGGAAGCAACATACGGGAAACACCACCTCAAGTGGTGTGGTATTGCTATCATACGACTTCTCTTTTCCATGTCTATGTTGGAATTCCGTTGGTGTTTTACAACAAATAATTATTTTTAATAAAATGATTTAATTACTTATTTTTAACGATAATTCCAACAAATTTATGATAGAGTTTTATCTTTTGTTAGTCTATGTCGCTAGATTAGGTTTTTCTCTTGTTAGTATTATGTTGTATTCTATTGGTAATGTTCGTGGATAATTGCTTGCTTTTCTTGTACTTTGCTTCAGGTAGTCATTTACACATAGAAAGGAAGACAGCTTGAATAATTAGCTTCAGACAATCATTTGATTATGTGCAAAACACATAAATATGTCCTCGACCCAAATTGAGAAAAACAATAAAGTAAACGGGCTAAATTAAACGTAACCATACCCATATCCAAAAAAAAAACACTTAAAACTGGAAGGGATAAATTTATAACTTTAATCTGTTATATAAACCCCCATTTTCATATTCACTTAAAGAACTTCCGACTTCTTCTCCCGTTACCTTCGCCTCCACAACTCCATTCCCCACCAGACACCATATTATGCTGCCACCCATTATCTCCACTATCAACAATGATGATCACCTAAGGCCACCAGGAGTACTCTCAAAATACCAAGGGTCATGCAGAGCTTCCAAGTCAGCCACCACAAACAACCGGAGTGTTCTCCACCTTGAGGAAGAGAGAAATAAGAGGAAGAAAGAAGGGAGAGAAGAAGAAGTCTCAAAGAGAAGAAGATAATTGGGCATTATTGTTCGTGATCCCCACCATAATTAACCACAAAATCGAGCCACCAGGAAACATCGGTATGGTGTTCACTATAAAAACCTGAAATTTAGATAGATTTGACTTTTAGTCAAATATCGATCAAAAGGGCAAAATTGTCATTTATGAGAAATTAGTAAGTTTAAGAAGTTGTGACTTCATGCAAATGGCTAAGATTAGTCTAAGTCAATTAGATGAGTAAGTTCAAGAGAAGAAACGCTTGAGAATATGCATTTTGGCCAAAATGGTAAAATGGAAAATTTTTAAGTTTTTGGAAAAACTTTGTGATTTAACAAATTAAGGCCCATATTAAGTTAGCAAAAAATAACTTAACAATGTTGTAAAGAGTATCCCCACCTTTGTGTGGATATAAAGATCGTAGTAAACGGGTTGGAGAAGAAGAAGTTATACGCGTTAGAAATTAGAAGAAAAACTATTCCAATCTGGAATGGAATTGGCCATGAGGTTGCTGATCTACATCAACCACATGCTGAGGTGAGGGTGACGTGCAATCAGACGTGGATTCTTGTCATAAGTGGAAGGCAACATAATTTCTCACATCATGGTATTATGTAGTACCACGACGTGGTGATGAATGTTGGTTGCTATGGGAGATTGGCATCGTGACTTGGCAGAAGGTTGATCATGACCTAAGAGCTCGCACTACGACACAGTGATCCCTTCACCAGGATGTGGTCTCGAGGATTAAACAAGGGTTTTAAACCTATTAGAGCTCATTCTGATCATTTCAAAGGGGGAATCGATTGGGAGCAAAGAGGTGGATATTTTGATGCCAAAATCATGCCAAGAGAAGTTAGTGATGAAGTCTAAAAAGAATTTTCATTCTCTCTCTACTAAGGTAAGATTTCTCTGTTTGGTGAAATGTTAGTTTCTTATGATTAGTTGAATTAATCAACCTATATCTTGTCTAAGATGTTATTGAAAGTGTTTAGAAGCTTTGAATAAACATTGTATGTGATTTCAGATGTGAAATTCATATATGTGAAGTTAGGGTTTGAGATCCTAACTAGTGAGGTTATAATTGATGCATTAGAGGGTATATGATAATGAATTAGATAGTATGTGATGCTTAATTCGTTGAATGCGTTAAATTAAAACTTAAATAATGAATTTTTGGTGACCACAGCGTGATAGACGATGCATCACAACGTGGTCAATGCTAGATGAGGCGTGCATTCATTTTGCTCCCGACGATGTGGTAGGATGTTGGCCACGATGTGGTGACCTCTAGGTCACAAACCCTAATTTTTGGGTTTTAAGCCCTATATAAGGGATGTGATGGCTAGGATTTTCACACCCTCAGCCCGTCACCTCTCTTTCGACCTAGAGGTACCCATAGCCACCAATGGTGAGTTTTTGAAGTTTTGTGGTGATTTTTGGTCAAAAGAAGAATAAGAAGGCATTCATTATGGGAAGATCCAGCAAGCAAGCCCCTCATCCACTCTCTTGCGCCTCTTTTGGACCATCTTGAGTCTTCAAGTTCCAAACTTTATGTTTCATGTTTCTAGATCTAGGTTTCTTTATTATGTTCTTTTAGAATGGCGTAGTTTGAATGGTTGGACTCCATAAAGTTGGTAACTTTGTGGATCCATGGGGTCCCAATGTGGACATACGTTCTAGATCTAAAGTCTTATATAGTTTTGATGTTATGCATGGAGCTTTAGGTCTCATTTCCTCCATTTTTTACCTTGCTTTAGTTCAAGGCATGCATTGGACATGCATGCGTAAAAAGAAACAATTTTTATGATGATTGGAGTGTAATAAGGTCTTTTGGAGAGTATGAGTGTGTTGCTTTAAGGATCAAGAGCTTAATGTATTAAGCTAGCCAAATATTACCTACAACGTGGAGGGTTAGCTCCCATGATTTGGCATTACGTAGTCTTTGCGATTGTTTTGTCATGAGGCCACCATGACATGGAAAATGCTTGGCCATGACGTGGTGACCGACTGCTGGACTTCTGACCATTGACTTTAACCGATGACTTTTTTTACCAAGTTGACTTTTAGTCAACTTGAGTGTTTTGGGTTTTGGATTAAGAATTGGTCCATAATTGTTGTATAGTCGACTCGTAGTACCCTTTCTTAGATTGTATGAGTTGTTGTGACTTTTCCTAGACTGTGAGGTGAGTTTTCTCACTATACTTTGTACTATAGTATGTATCCTTGTATGTAGGATGTTGTTATACTATAGTGATATGTTAGATTGGTGTGTGTGTGTGTGTGTGTATATATATATATATATATATATATATATGATTACATGTGTTTATTGGTTATTGTTTATTTATTTGCATATATTGACATATTATGGTTGTTTGGGTTGAGGCAGTCCTGCTTTGTGCTATGAGCCAAGATCCCCGAGGGGGTCTAGGCATACTGTAGGCCTTGCGAGGTGGTCCACTCAGACTGTAGGTCCAAAGGAGCGGTCTAGCTACTATAGACCATATGAGGTAGGCTAGTAGATTTTAGGATCAGTCGAGTTGTCCAAGCATCATATAGGCCTTGTGAGGCAGTCAAGGCAGATTGTAGGCTTATGTGTGTATGCATTATATGTGTATTGTTATGTGGGGTATTTTGGGGGTACTTACTAAGCTTTGGATTACAGTTGTGGATTTAAATGTTTCATGTACTTTAGATGATCATGGAAAGGCGAAGGTATGATCATAAACATCATCCTATGAATTTATGTTAAGATATGTCATTGGATACTCATATATTTTATGACTATGTTTTGGAAACAGTGTTTTGTATAACTTATGGTTTATGAAAAATAGTTCTAAAAGATAACAAAATTTTACTTTGATTTGGGGACATTACAAGTTG